CTGTTGTTGTTGTTGTTGTTGTTGTTGTTGTTGTTGTTGTTGCTGTTGTTGTCATTGTTGTTGTTGTATGAGTTTATGTGTGTGTGTTTTGGGTGTTTTGTTTTGTGGTGTTTTGCTTTGGGTTTTTTGTGTTTCTTAATTTGCTTTTATTGGGGGGGTTTGTTTGTTGTTATGCTTTCTTGGTTGGTTTGGGGGGTTTTTGTTGGTCATTTCAATAAAGTGATAGGCTTTTATCTAATAACCATTTATTTCATTACCAGCTAGGTTGCTGCAATGAATTCTGTGAGCTTTTTACGATTATATCAAAATCTCGCAAGCTTCCGAATAGGGAATAATATTACCCTTTCTATTTGCCCGATTCAATTTGGTGCTGTGAGCGATCTGATCTTGCTCATTCTGAAAAATGAGAAATTTTCCAAATCTGTGGTACAGTGATGAAATCAGGCGCTTGTTTAAATAATGATATTGAAGAAACCGACATATTTTTACTCCCTTGAAAAATTGTTATACCCTTTATATCCAGTTACAAACAAATTATTATCTGTACTGATTTCATTGCAAAACGATGATCAAAAGTACAGAAGGTGTAAATAAGCAATTTCCAAATTGAAGGTCATTTTCTCGCTAATTTTGCCTCTGATACCAGCAAAACCCACCTCCTCCAATGGCAAATATATTAGATACATGGGTTGGTTTTTGTTCAGCAAAAGCATGGCCAATAAACAAGATTTTTTAGATTGCACCAATAACTCTATATGCTCAAATACTGTCGAGTGACTGATTCCACCGTGTCTTGTCACAAATATATTATTATAAATATCAATATGAAGTGGTTATCGTTTTGCGCAGGTATCAGCAGATATCCACCTGGACTCCAGTGCTGTCCTGTCTGTCACAGAGCAGTGTCTGGTGTTCTTGCTCATCCTGTGTCGCTGGTTGCTACCACGAGGGGACATCACTCGGGACCAGCTTTCCCAGCTCCTTTTCGTTTTTATCGGTAATCTCCCCTAGCCAATTTTGCGTATGTGCATTGCGTGTGTGTGTGTGTGTGTGTGTGTGTGTGTGTGTGTGTGTGTGTGTGT